TTGTCCAAGAAGTCAAATGCAAACCAAAGGAAACCTTTGGATTTTTACCTGCTCTCTTCTAAGATTGTCCTCCCTGCAATATCAACTCTAGCAGAGGAGTATGCCTTCTAAGCTGGAAAATCAAAGTTTTAATAACTGATGGGCTCAAAGTTAAATTATCCTTTTAGGTAACTGATCTCTCCTGCTTAGTTTTTCACTGAGCAGTTCTATTTGTGCCAAAAGCCAGAAATCTACTGACCACTTTGATTTCTATGCCAGTTTCTTAAACTTTACCAGAGAAATAAATGTAAAACCTACTGTATAACATGTACAGTACATCTAAAGTACTGCCTACAGGAAGCACTCTGAAGTGAGTTTCAGAGCAATACCAGTTACGCTTATTCAAAAGTACATCCCATACTGTTCACTTGATCTTACTCTGAAGAGTTTTAAGATTACAGCTTTAGTAAATTGGCAGCATTGTTGACATATAACTCATTTTTCACTTTTGAATTGAAAACGGTGAAGTCTTAAATTTAGGCAATGCGCGTATTTATATGGCTGTACTACACAATCAGAATTTTAATTACATAAACAAGGATTAACATTTTCCAGTGTCTCAGACTCCACAGTTGTAGAGGGGAGCTTGGAATTACAGGTGAATTATCACCCAGATCAGTCTTCCCTAACCTGGCACCAAGCCCACTGAGAATTCTGGAAGTTGCTGTCCTAACACTACCATGAGACCTTGAGAAATGTGGTGTAAAAATAAATAAATAATACAGCTAGCGGCTACTAGCTTGTCTAGAGAATGAGGCAAAAGATGGTAAACTGATGCAGAGATCTGAAAGCTCCAAGCCTGTACAGATAGTCCGTGCTTAACGACTGCCCTATTTAGCAACCATTCAAAGTTATGATGGTGCTGAAAAAGTACTAACAACTGTCACAGCATCCCATGGTCATGTGATTGCCATTTGCACACTTCACAGCCGGCTTCTGACAAGCAAAGTCAATGGAGAAGCCAGAAGTAAAATTGCAGATCACGGTCAGGTGATGTCTCACTTAACAACCATGGTTGATTCATTTAATGACCACAATGGGAGTAACATCATAAGTCCAAAATGGTCACATGATGTTTCACTTAACAACTGTGTCATTTAGCAATGGAGTTGCTGGTCCCAATTGTGGTAGTTAAGTGAGGACTACCTGTAATTTGGTTTCTTTAAAAAAATGATGCTACAGTTCAAGTTTTCTTGATTCATAATCCTCTTTAAGAGGATTATGCTCCCTAATCTAAGATCCATGAATATTAGTAGTGTAGGAAATGCTCTCTGCACCTGTTCAGAGGGTATTCATATGCATCAGATTTAGCAAAACTTAACATGACAAAAATGCATCAGAACTGAGGCCTCATACAAATCAACTGGGATTAATCTCTAGAATATAGAAAGAGTAGAACAAATGGTGTTCCATAATTCCTGGAGCTATGATATTAACAATAGAATAAAATTTATTCACTATATTTGCAATATTTCACTAGAAATTACATTAACATCCACATATTATGACATTAAAGTGCATTTACATGAGACAGAGGCAAAAAGTGACTTCATTTGCCTCAAAATTATCACAAATACCTTACTCATACACAGCAATACATTGACGAGACTTAATGACACTTGCAGCTGACAAATTCTGTGCACAGCCATGCCTGTAGCACACAAGAACTCTGTTCTGAAGCTTCACCTCTTCCCCGCAGCCACTGTGTGGCAGCATCAGCTTTGAGAATGAAGAATGGAGAGGTATGGCTGTCACATGGTGATAGTTCAAGGGAAACAACAAAAAGCATTGCACAAACTTTCAATAGAATAGCATAGGACAGAACTGATGTGTAGAAATCTTAGTAATAATCACTTTAGTGCACCAATCCTATGTTGTCCTTCCTCCATATCAAGCAGGGATGGAGAATTTATGCCTCCCCATGCCTACCCCCAAGATAAGAGCTGCAGTTCCCAGTCATTTTCATTATTTGTGATGTTGGTTGGGGCAATGAGGAGGACAAGTTCCCCACCCTTGTCCTAGACCAGGGGTCCCCAAACTCTTCAGCTCATTGACCCCTTCATGAAGTTTCAGAATGTTGACCCCCAAACATTATATGAAAATAATTTAATACTACTTTAACTATAACAACAACAATAATGGATAGTCCCATTGACTCTTGGGGGTTGATATTGACCACTTTGGGGAACCCTGACCTAGACAATGAGTTAAAATTTTCAGCAGCGAGTATGTGTTGAAAGAAGCAAGGTCAGTTTGTTACTAATAAAGTTCTGTTTCGTTGTTCCAGTGTATTTGGTTAAACTATTACTGTTCACATGTTCCAAATGGATAAAAACCCATATTTAAATATAATGGATTTTAAAAGATTAAAAAATCCTTTATTTAACACAGAATCCATGTTGATTCTTCGATTATTACGGAAAATCCAGGCACATAGATCCAGTGCGATGTGCATGGAAATATTACAAGCCATATAGACCTCCTCATTCATTTGGGGGGAAATGCTAAATTCCCCACACACAGGTGGATTAGCAGCACCCTCCGAAACAAATAGGGGCGGTTGGCCATACAAGAGAAAGTATATGTGCATACTTGAGCAGGTACAGGTCCCTGGATCAAGGTGTTTGCTATAGCTCAGTTTTATTTGTGAATGCATTTATAAGACACTGCATTTTTAAATGTGTACATCATGCTCACAAAGACCTATTTCCATAAATGCTTTTTTTTAAAAAAGGCTGAAAAAATAAGATATTGTAGAATAGTAAACTGTAATTTGGCAGTAAGTTATAGCAGGTATATAGTAAAAACAAATGCTGAAATTTGCTACACTTAACCATTCCAAGATGTGTAATTCTTTTATTCCTCAGAGTTTCCAAAGAATCTTGTAAAATATATAGTCATTTTCTTTTATGCATAGATTTGTCTAGCACTTTCTCATGTGGGGACTCTGGCCCAAGAGAATGGGTGCTGAATTGAACAGATAGTGAGAAAGTAACACTATTTAAAAACAGTAGACAAAAAAGTACACCGTCTTCTGCCTCAGAAATTTTATGAAATTGAAATGTGATGCTTATTCTGTCTTAAAATAATTGTCTGAATAAAAGTATCTTCCTTCCTTTGTACCTATGATTTCTAAAACACTGAGATCACTAAACAAAGTATCTTTGTGTCCCTAAGAAATTGCAACTGATAGATACTTTGAACAGGAGATAAAGAGAACAATATTTCTTTAGCAATTCTAACTGTTCAAAACGATAAGTTTCGTAAAAACATCAAAGTATAGGCTTCATCTTTTATGAAGCTTTACTTATTCTTGCCATCCATCTTCCTCTTTCTGCTCCTCTTCCCTTGTTTTCTAACACACCAACTAGCCTTCCTGAGTGTTCTCCAGATGTGGAGATTTGAATTCCCAGAATTCCTGAATTCTGTTTGACCAGCAGCAGTCCTTCTCACTTCTTGACAATAAGAATTTGAAACATGTCAAATCAGAAAACACCTAACATTTAGAACTTTGTTACCTCCTATATATCAGTCAGTTAATCTGTCTATAAGATCAGTAGTTAATTTCATGTAACTAACTAATAATACAGAACGTATCACTGACAGGTACTGTATCATCTCCCTGCACTGCCTCCTATCAGAAAACGCAGTACACGTATGGCACTGATAATCTCTGTAGTCATTCACAGGAATCAGTGTCATGAGGTTCATAATGTCCAACAATCATAAATCCTAGATAGGTAACAGGCAGAGGCAAGATTGTTGAGTTCTTAAAGAGGATGTAGTTGCACTATGCTACCAATGCATTGGGCTTTCCAATAATGAACACATTTCCAAGAAAACAGAAAAATAAAATTGAAAGACCTGAGACTTACACCTTTTAAATTGGGTTTAATTCAATTAACATGGATGTAGACACCAAACATTCATTTTTCACTAGATCCATGTTTATGAACATTTCATGAAAGGGCACAGTAATAATACTTTGTTTTTATTGAACAAGGTGGTTGAACTACATCTTGGCCCATTTGTTGGAATCCTTCTTTGAACTTTTTCAGAGGTCAGGTTGAGTTTTAAATTACCCTTTGAAAACACTGCAACAAATCCTCAGTCTGAAATAACATTTTGCTACTTTGAACTTAGTTGTCCATGGTCAATGGGAGGGGGAAAAGTGATGATGCATGCTGATGTTATCATGTAAATGCTATAACTTACAACCTTAGGTTGGTTGTCAAGACACAAGCACATTACAATGGCATTTGCTTGATGACATCATTGCATCATTTTAGCATCATCAGAGTTCCTCTATATGCCGCTAACACTGAACAATAATCTCGATTTCATAAGTAGGTTAATTTGTATTCCCAATCTGTGTACTCTAAGTAAATTTTGATCCAACTTCAATATTGTAATTCTGCCAGGCTTTGACCATATGCACCATTTGTTTAGCGACTGTTCAAAATTACAACAGTGCTGAAAAAAGTGACTTAGAACTGGTACTTGCAGCATCCCTGTGGTCACATGATCAAAATTTGGGCACTTGGCAACCAGCATGTATTTATGACAGTTGTAGCGTCCCAGGGTCACGTTCACCATTTGTGACCTTCCCAGCCAGCTTCCGACAAACAAAGTCAATGGGGAACTGCGCGATTCACTTAACTGCATGATTTGCTTAACAACCATGAGATTTGTTTAACAACCACAGCAAAAAAGGTCATAAAACTCAGATGCAGTCATGTGATGCCTCGCTTAATGACTGTACTGCTTAACAACTAATTTTCTGGTCCCTATTGTGGTTGTAAGTCGAGGACTATCTGTAAATACAAAATAATTGAAGTTTCTATCGAAATTAATAGTATGAGATAGTAAGCTGATTTAATCTTTGGGTTAAATATTATTGCAGAAATTGGTTAGAAAATACTGTCAGTATTTTCTGCTTTGTATATTTTTTCTGGTCCCTATTGTGGTTGTAAGTCGAGGACTATCTGTAAATACAAAATAATTGAAGTTTCTATCGAAATTAATAGTATGAGATAGTAAGCTGATTTAATCTTTGGGTTAAATATTATTGCAGAAATTGGTTAGAAAATACTGTCAGTATTTTCTGCTTTGTATATTAGCATTATTTAAATACTTTTCAGAAAAATAATTTATCTTTGACAACCACACAGAGAATAAGAATTTGGATTTGAGATCCATGTTAAAAAGAAATATAGCAAGAGGAATTATTGTGCACAAATTGCCTGCAAGTACAGAAACTGACAAAATTTGACCGCTAATGATTTCCAGTGCTCCCAGGTAAACATGAAGTGAACTTGTAAACCAGCCTTTCCTAATGTGGTTCCCTCCAGTTGTGCTGAGATTATAGTTTCCAGAATTGGGTGTGTTGACTCAGAATTCTGGGAGTCATAATTGCAGTACTTTTGAAGGTCACACTGTTGGTTGGACTGTTGTAAACAAATTTCTCCTCAGAGCATGGATTCTCTCACATGCATATCATAGGCAGATATGGTGGGCAACATGCTGTTCTCCAGATAATGGGACTAGCTATTTTGTGGCCATATTGATTGGGGTTGAAAAAAGTTGGAATCAAAAACTGCTGTGGGGCTGGAAATACCCAATTCTGTTGCAGGAGATAGGGCAAGACTACTTTTGCCTAGTTGCTATACCTGCCTATTTAGCATAATACTGGGTTGGCCAAGCAGTCCAACTTGCATGTCTGGAACACCCCTAACCCTTATCTAAACCATGGCAGGGATTTTATATTGGCATCTGACAATAAATGAGGTCCAGTACATGGCTCAAGTAACACATAAACTCACTAAACAACTTTATCTAGAGAAAGTTATCAATTTAGGACTAAGAACCTACTATACTCTGGAAATTCTTTTGAAAGACTCAAATAGCCACTGGATGGTAGTAAAGAGGTACAAAGAGATACCTAAGAGCCTTCTAGGGAGCATGTGGAATTTTGCAGCTTAGCTTTGGAATACCTCAGCCTTTGGAGTCACCAGACTACTTTAAAAAGCTGTTCAAAAGAGCAGGAAAAGTCCATCTTCATT